TTCATCCCAAGGCTCTCTTGACATAGCCAGGAGCTGTGAACATCCAACATTCTGGAGAGGATGCAGGAGGACCACAATCAGGCCAGATGGCAATGCTTCACTCCCTGGAATCCAGTCATCCATACGGTCATCAAGAAGGAAGCTCTATTCTATTAACACCCTGTATGTTTTAAGACAGCGGTTCTCAACCTATGGGTCGTGACCCCATTTGGGGTCGATCGACCATTTCACGGGGGTCGCCAAGCAAGGCTGTCCGCCATTTTTTCCCCTTTTCTGGCGGGTGCCTTACCTCCCTTGGGCTGGGCCAGCTGGTGGTCGGCCTGCTCCGTCTCTGCCGCTTGCCAGCTACGCCTCGGCCGGTGCAGGGGGCGGAACCATGCATGCGCGGCGCTCCCGGGCAGGGAAAGTCCTCGACTTACGACCGGTTGGGTAGTCCTCGACTTACGACCGGTTTAGTCTTCGACTTACGACCGGTTGGGGGGTCGCGGCATTAAAAAGGTTGAGAACCACTGTTTTAAGAGTTTATAGTTTGATCCAGTCATTCATGTGTGTGTGCCTTTGCATGTGTTTGTGTGTTATCCACATGCTTAGTAGGGAAAAGAAAGAAACGGGGGGGGGAGGGGGAGAGAAAAGGCATCTCCTCCAGAAGAGAAAAACAAAACTAAGCTAAAGAAGGAATAATGAATACGTGAAAGGGAACCGCAGCTGGCTTGCAGCCTTGAAGCCAATGCATCTAAACGTTGTGTTGTTCACTACACAGCCTTTGCTTTTGTCCCGATTAGGAGAAATAACAGTATTTATGGACTCCTCCAATGCCTGATTTCCATAGATATAAAGCTTCTGGCTGCCGCGGTTGTTGTTAACGCTGCGGTGCCTTTTAATGTCACAAGGGCCTTTGGTCTATAATGGGAGGAAATTAATCAACTCCCCACTTTCCTTTGGTAAAATAAGGGAGTCCGCAATGATTTGTGACTTTCTGGTAGCTGGTTTAGCAAACTGGGGATCTTGCAGTGAGCCGGGCTACCTCTTTGTGGCAGTTTATTTGTTCTGCTTTGGGAATGTTCATAGGAACATTGGTTCAATCAGTACATTTTGTCTTGGCCAAATTGTGAATGTTGTGCTTCCTATGAGAACTGAGATTAGAGCCAGAGAAAGGACGACAGTATATTATACCATCCTGTTCCCAGCAATTAATTCCAAAGTCCATTAAAAATGGCCCTGGATGAGCAAATGGTTTGACAGTGGGACTTGGAAATAGACCATATTGTGCGTGATTTGTTATGTTTCCCATATACTGTTGTGTACATACACACACAGGGATACTCTACATGCAAACACGCACAGGCTGGGCTTACATGTCATCTTAAACCGCTATTGTGTTTCATGGGGTTTATTTCCACAACGTTGTATAATGCTAGTCAATTGTCACTTATTGAACAAGCCATAGTTAAACAAATCAGAGCCTAAGAGGACATGTGGAAACCTGGTCACTTATATTTGTACCCAAGCCTGTATAAATAATCTTCCTTCCTTCCTTCCTTCCTTCCTTCCTTCCTTCCTTCCTCCCTGTCCTTCCTTCCTTCCTTCCTTCCTTCCTNTTCCTCCTTTTCTTTCTTCAGTATTGGAGGTTCCTTGCCCATCGTCTTTGCCTATTTCTCTGAATTCTTAGCCCGTGAGAAGCGAGGGGAACACCTGAGCTGGCTCTGCATGTTCTGGATGATTGGTGGTTTGTACGCCTCGGTCATGGCCTGGAGTATCATCCCACATTATGGTAACTGTTTCCAGATCTAGAGGGAATTTTCCTGCTTCTGTGTCTTGTCTCCAGCTTTTATTTCACTGAGATGACCTTCTTCCAGTCACCTAGTGGGAACCAGAACAGGCTGCGATGTATCTTTATTTAACTTGGTGCCCTCCATGCATATTAGGCAGTATGTTCTGTGTAATAGAATTTGGCAGACGCTAAGAGACCATTTCCATACTGTAGTTAACACAAATCCATCAAATCATCAATTATGCTTGACTCAAAGGATGATTGATGATGATGGTGGTGATCGTGATGATGATATTTCCCACCTTCTTTAGCCAAGTATCATAGTCCAACCATTTGTGGAAGGAATCAAGATGGAGAAGGCCAATTGAGTAAACCAACCTGGGAGAATGCTACAGGTTTAATCCCAAATTATATCTGCCAATTGTGGGATGTTTCTGAGGTTCTGGGTGGATTCTGGAGTATTTTATTTATTCGTGCATTTTATTGCATATACATGTACCTAGTATCCACAAGTCATCTTACCTCTAGACAATCCAAACCTGCTTTGTTTCACAAAGGGGGATGTAATAGATCTCTGACAATGCTGTAATGCTGAATAACGATGGTCTGTGGCTTTCTTGATTAGTCCACCAAAATAATGAGCTGGGTCAGCAGCTCCTAAATTTAAGGCTCTCTGTACAATGCACACAATGTGAGCAAAGCTGAAGAAAAAAACCTGATGCTGATAGGACATATTTCTGCTTGAATCACATATAGGTAGAGGTTTGTTAGATTCTTTTTTCTTTGCTCTGTTTAGTTTATATATGTTCTGTTTTATCTGGTCACTGCTACAATAAATATCATCCATCCATCCATTTCCCCCCTTTCTGTGTCTCTCTGTCTCTTCTCTGTCTATGTCTGTCTGTCTGTCTGTCTGTCTGTCTGTCTGTCTGTCTGTCTGTCTGTCTGTCTGTCTGTCTGTCTGTCTGTCTATCTATCTATCTTATCTCTATCATCTATCTATATCGTCTGTCTGTCTGCCTGTCTGTCTGTCTGTCTGTCTGTCTGTCTGCTTGTCTATCTATCTATCTTAT